GAGGGGACGGGGGGCGGGTAGGACGCCGTCGTGTGCTTCCCGGCGACGTCTCCCGGGAGGCGCAGTTCCTTGCGCCGGGCGCGTCTCCGCGGGCCTCACCTGCAGCGCCTCGGGAGCCCAGGCCTCCTGTCCCTGCGACTAGGGGACGGGCTGCGTGGAGCGGGAAAGCGGTGTGGAGAGCATAGCCCAAGACAATGTCAACGTGTGAAACCTGATATGTAACCCCCAAGAGTGAAGTGTGATATCTAATCAAACAGATTGAATGTGTGACACCCTGTGACGTGTGCAACCCCAATAGCTAATCATACAGCCCCAATATGTACGAAGTGATAAACCCGAACTAGTGCCACACACCCCAAGTTAGAATAGTATAAGAGAGAGAGAGAGAGAGAGCAGAAGACCAGCTCGTCCCACTGGACGTCGGGTCCAGCTCGCGGACGCTCAGCTAGATGAGATCTCAGAGGAGAGCTCGGATGCCTGCCCGGAGTGGACCCCTGAATCGAGGAGGTCATCCGATCGACAACCGCAATCACCAGGAAGGGAGAAACCAAGCCGCGCTCCTCGGACTTGTGCAGGTACAGGGAGTGGCAACTGGTGGGTATGAATGAACATGATTAATTATATATATATAAATATTTGGTACGGTGACTGTACTCAGGCCCTTGTCCTTGCAAGGCAGACACCGTAACCACTGAGCTAAATCCTCAACCATATGGAGAAACCAAGTCGCGCTCCTCGGACTTGTACGGGTACAGGGAGTGGCAACTCGCGGGTATGAATGAACATGATTAATGATTGATACATATATATAAATTTAGTTGGCATCAACTACTGTCTTGACCTCCATTTAGTGCATACTCCTGCTCGCGACAAGCAGGGCCTTTTCTTTCAGCTGCAGGTCTACCAGAAAAGGGCTGAAAATACTTGATGAGGAAGAAACTCCTTTGCAGCTATTTTTAGCTGTCAAGTGTAGGTGATTCTCAGATCAGAAAACTGACAGAGGAGCTTTATCAAAGCAGATGCCAGGACCACACCCCAAACCTGAGTCAGGAAGTGGGGGAGGGAGCGGATGGATGTTGATTCTGATGTGCCTCGGGTTGGGGAGCCACCTATCTAACCTAGGTTTTGCCCTTCTGAGACTCCCACTTACGGGGCAGGGCTCCGTGACAGTGCCTAATAGTATCAGTAGTAGGACTGACTTCTAGCCGGGCGGAGAGGCGCACATTTGTCATCCCAGTGCTCTGAAACCTGAGGCAAGAGGGCCGTGAGTTCGAGCCCAGCCTGGATGGATTAGCAAGACTATGTTTTAAAACTAAGAGGTCTAGGGAGTTAGCCCTGTGTTCAATCCCCGGTACCACCAAAAAAAGAAAAAGAAAAAGGAAGTTATCTTTTTATTTGAAAAAGTATTTGGGGGACTTTGTGTATTGCAACAGCTCTTTTTTTTTTCTCTCTCTCTCTCTCTCATTGAGTTTATTGGTACATTTTAGGTAAACAGCTCTTTGTATTAGGCTTGTAAATTCTAGAAATACGTTGGTGTGAATCCTTACACAGTTCTAGGGTTAGGGTGTGACTCAGTGGTAGAGCTGGTAGGTTCCATCCCAGCACCACAAAAGATACATTAATAAAAACAAACCACGTGAAAACCATTTCACTTATTCTTTAAAAAACATTAACTTCTTATTATGTGTGAAGCAGTGTTAGATGTGTTGGGGTTATAGCAAGAACAAACTAAAGGTACTCCCTCCTGCAAGTAGTTTACACTAATGTAGGAAAATGGAAATAAGTGTGCCAAAGAGTAGTAAATGCCACCTTTAAGAAAGGGTGAAAGGACTTAGAGATGAGGAGGAAGGCCTCTGTTGATAAGGGGAATTATCCTGTGTGCAAAGGAATGTTGATTCAGAGGAACTGGTAGCAAGTGCAACGGCCTAAGGCAAACAGGGATTCTGAGCTTCTTAGAGGACCTGGAAAAAGTGTCTGTGCCTGGAGTGATTTGAGCAAGGGCCAGAGAAGAAATTATCAAGGGGGCCAGACTCTATCATATTGATAGGATTTAAAAAAAAAAAAAAAAACTTTTGCACCCTTTAAAGGACTTTGGAATATATTTTCTCCTGTCAGACATTTTAAGTTGACTAAAATTTGCCTAAGTTGCAGTTTTGTAATACTGACATTTAAAACTATAAGGTACTTTTTAAACCCAACAGAAAAGTAAACATTAAAATGATTTAATACCATCAACCCTTTTTTGAGGATGTCTTCTGAATAATTTGGAAGTCCCCTTTCCCCTCAATAAGTCAAGGTAGCCATGAATATTTACAACATTGCTAAAATGAGTTAGGGTCCTGTATCAATTCCTTTTTTTTTTTTTTACTTTTAGAGACTTACACACTGCACTGAAAACTAGAGCCCTCCAGGCATGGTGGCACATGCCTGTAATCCCAGCACTCAGGAGGCTGAGGCAGGAGGATCACCTTGAATTCCAGGCCTGGGCTACATAGTGAGCTCCATCCCAGCCTGAACTACATAGGGAGACCCTGTCTTTTAAAAAAAAAAATGTGTGTGTGTGTGTGTGTGTGTGTGTGTGTATTTGGAGTGCAGAGCCTGTGTTTGGCATACACAGGCCCTGAGTTCAATCCTTATCACCCAAAAATGTTTTAAAATTGTGAACTATACAAACATATATGATGAAAAAATATAATATATAATATAGTATATACTATATTATATATTATATATATTATATATCTGTATTAGATTGATTCCCTTAATACCCTTATCTAGGTACCTCTTGGAGAATTTCTTCCACTGGAATATTCTCAGAGTACTCATTCCTGCAGTCCCTTTTTGGTGGGGTGTTTTTTTGAGACAGGGGCTCACTTTGTAGTTTAGACTGGCCCTGAACTCACTATGTAGCCCAGACTGGCCTCAAACTCGTGGTGATCCTCCTGCCTCAGCCTCTCAAGTGCTAGGATCACAGGCATGTGTCACCACACCCACCTCATCCCTCAGTTTTAAAACCACTGAGAGATGCAAAGCCCTGCGTGGGTTTTTGTTTGTTTATTTCAGGGTTTTTTTTACAGTACTGAGGATCAAACTCAGGACGTTGCACTTCCAAGGCAGGCAGTGATGCCACTGAGCTAAATCTCAGTCCATGGTTTTGAGCAAAGAGTCAACACAGAATCATGAGAAATGTTATTATTACTATCATGAGTGCTTCCTAAAGAAATCACTTGTTTAGGGTTGAGTGGAAGAAGGTGCACCAATTAGAAATCAAATACAGTAATAATTCAGTCCAGGAATAATGGTTGATGCACCAGTATCTGTACAGGTGGTAGAAAGTATGGGGTATAAATAATAAAGACTTGGCTTCATATACAACCTCAAGACAATAAATAAATGGACAGATTTCTTAAACAAAAGTTTTGCTTCCATTAGTTTTTCTTTCTAATGCTTGCAACTGTTTGCCTTTATTCAAATCTAGTATAAAAGTTATTTTAAAAACATAATAATTATAGAGAGGAAGCTACCCCTACAAAGTTCATAGTGTGCTCTGAGAAGGCAGTACCTGGACTTGAACTGTTGTGAAATATTTGTTAACATTGAAACAGAGACCCAGCTACACTGGGCTCTCAAGTTACAAACAGCCTGACATATGAACAACTTGGGTTACAACCAGAA